AAATCTGGTTAACATCCAGACTTTGTAGCTCAGTTTATAGAGCACTGGGCCGGAAGCTATACATTTATTGACACTATTTGTGTTGCCACGCTTGACAAATCATTTTCAACTATCAAATCCTTACACTAGAAAAATGTACAAATTTGCGATTGTACAGCTTTGAAAATTAAATCGCCAAAAAGAGAATCTTCGCTGAAATACTTGTTCTTCTTTCATATCCTGATGGGTATATTCCACACAAATATTCAGCTATTGATAAGCAATAAACAGAGAAACTTGAAACTTGGCACAGAAATACTACAACATCTTTTGATTGGCGAATCGGCATTAGTGTATGAAGTTTTTGACTGTTGGTTCGAGTCACGTGGGGCGATGTGGACTAGCAGGTTGGCGTCTGCGGGATAAGACGAAATAGTGGCTGGAGACTCTAGGTGACATGACTCAGAATCGAAGTCAGTGGCGTAGATTTAAACACACATTATCCTCATCTTAACACTATACTGAGTCTCACCATTTTCTCGTTCTTCCTTTCGTACTTTATATTTCTTTTGACTGAATTTTCTTTTCTTCATCTTCCACTTCATTGACTTTTTACTTGGTGTACTGATATGGGGTGTGGCAACTCGGACCCTTACGCAGTAATGCCTGGTCCTATGTTGTTGATGATTGGCGAATTCAAAAGCCGTCTTCAAGCAAAGAAATGTAACAAGTGTCGGCCATCAGTAAGTATGGCTAGGCTCCAAAACCTGTCAGAGGCTGGAGATTTGATGAATGCACCCCTGTTCAGACTTGAAGCCTTCCTAGTTTTTTCAACTGTACCGTTCCCCAACTCTTCATCGGTGTTGGATAGTTATTAGACGCTAGTCAAACTGATTGTCACAGGAGAAGTTTTTTCTCTTTTTCTCATAAACCGGAATGATCAGTGAACTAGATTAGTTAACCTGAATGGAATACTTCTGATTTCCATGCTCTAGCTAGTAGTTTGGCAACTTTACTAAGTATTTTTCTACCAAAACGTACAGTAGGGCTTAGTAACACTGATCACAATGTGACAGGTAGCTAAGTAGAAGTTTGCAAGTGTTGATGAAGAGTAAAGTCGAAGAGATCAAGGTGTTTTTTGAAGGATTACTCCAATTCTTCGCGTAAGTCATACTATTCAATCCATGCATACGTTTAGTGAAGCGTGGTTTTATGAAATCTGTCTCTGACAGATAGAATTTGTGTAAGTTAGAGACTGTGAGACAGATAATACACATTACACTAGAAGCCTCTAAAGTATGACTGTGATAAGATCCCAGTTAGCTTTTGGCACATAATTAACTACGGGGGGACTAGATATGTACATGAGACACATCCAATGCTGCTCTTAATAAACAGACTTTGCATGCCATTTACAGAACAGAACAGAACGAACAAATGGGTAATGATTCACTCCTCTAGTCTCTCATCAGTTAACTACTGAAAGAATGAGAGCCGATCATGTTGCGCTTCTCGAAGTAAACGTCTAGAATCATCTGACTATTTTACTTCTCATCATGGACACCAACTATCTAGAGATATCACATGATTCCAACCTCTGGTTTACAGAATGAAATATATATGGAGTTGGTAACAGATGATGCTTTTCATGATGCATTCCAAATATTATGTTAAAGAACTTTGGATTCCGCTTACACCGACTTTCCCATGTTCATTTCAACAGAACGATATCTTCTATACCATCCAATGGAATTAAGGACAAGTTAGGTGGTATTCATGACCTATGTTCATTTATATTATCTGTCTGGAATTTGAAATTCATAATGATGTAATTGAAAAAGTGAAGTACAACATTTACCGACTGGGTTTTCAGTTACATTCTTGTGGGTATGCATGTATGCATGTGCATGTGTATCTGTTTATCGGCGTGCTTTTCTGAAATAAAATTTCAGACTTAGAATAAACAAGTTTTGATGATCTGTTGAAAACATACAAGATTTGGTCAGCCTGAAATCTGGACAAGCTTACCTTAACGATTGTGAACATTCTAACAAGGTGACTACATAAATAAAAGATGCTACCACCCATTTAATCGCTGGTAAAAATTTCTACTTAAAAGGAATCACACCTTTCTGTCAATTAATAATGATGTGTGTGTGTGTGTGCGCGCGGAGATTTCGATCTCGCCGGTTTGAAATCAGCAGCTAATTGGTATGCATAATCTCGAGCTACTCATCAAATTTAAGTAGTATATTTCTTTAGACGACTGGTATTTTCGTTTTATTACTTGATTAGTTGTAATGATATAATGGCGCTCATATGCAATACTGAGTGGCATACATAATTTTAGAATGTCTCACCTACTGTGATAATTCTTTGCAGTTAAAAATCATAAAATTAGATTGTTTCACAAGAATAAGATAAGAATTATATATATATATATATATATATATATATATATATATATATATATATATTGGCTAATCGCTGAAAGGTAATTAGTGAATGAAGCTGCTAGTAGTTCAGTGGGAATGTCTCTAGTTGCAGTACTAGTCGATATGGTTTTGTATGAACTTGGAGAAATCAGTTCTCTAGAGGTTGCAGATGCGCCATGCTGACGAGTACCGACAGGTACGAAACTCAGTTCAACGGCTATTCACTAATTACTTCCAACCACTTAGCACTAATCAACTTATAATTCTGCGGATGAATCTTCGATGAGAAAATACCAAACTTCAGAGAAACTAAAACCGCCATCATTCACATTCCGAGATATAATTTTCTTTCCATCATTTCAACACGTATTGTTCAAGGTCAGTTCCAGAGAGGCAGCAGGAAACGTCCTATTCCAATGAACGTTAAATTTCACCCGAAATAACATTTGAAACATTCTCTTGTCATTCTCACAGTGATTAATTAATTACATGACGTTGTACTTATTCTTGAGTGCAGCTGACGAGCCCCGAAAGGGACGAAACGTGCCTCCCGGATGCCTCTGTATACCATCAAGATGAATATGATATCATGAGTGTCCGGTAGTATCGTGGCATTCGCATAGGAGCGCATCCGTCGACAGAGGTCAAGCAGTTCGGCCCTGTATAGCAACAAGAAATTACAAACATCAAGCAACGTTAATAAACCTTAGTTACTCATTGCTTGTCAGGACTGTAAATTTTAATCCATAATACGTGTACTTATCCGTCCTTTTATTCATTAATTATTCGAAATCCTTGGAAAAAAATTGTTATACAATTTTAATCCCAAAATTACCTTCATGTACAGATAACTGTCAAAAATTCAAGTTTATGAAACCAATTAACATGGTATATGTTTCGTATGTGTTAACTATTGCATCTTTAAGTATAAACTGATGAGGCTTTGACGAAACTGTGTATTCTGTCAAATTCTTGTCATTCTGTTTAACAAAGCTTGATCTGCTGTTTATCGTCATTAATGTTACTACGAGTGTAAATGCGAAGGAGCTAAGCGGTGGATCCTACTTAATAATGTAAAAAGTTGAGAACAATCTACGCTAATCACTGTGAAAACAAACGGATACCTCTGTTGCACAACACAAAGAAAACAATATGAAGAAGGATTCGTAAAAAAATAGGCTAAATGTTTATTACTTGACAGTAGGACAGATAGGCTACACTACGATTAGTGATATTCTCTAACTTTGGATTTCTTGGTTCGGTGAAACGAAATTTGAAAGTCTGATGTTTCAATTACTGGTTGGAACTACTACTGCATCTGTACATCTGTATAATCTAGTGCATGATAGTGACCCTCTAAGAGTACGCTGCTATGATAATCCCTTGAAACATGGTTGTGTCAAGAATAGAAGCATAACTTTAAAATGATGTCAAGAAAATCAAAGAAAACCATGAGGCATTTACCTGGTGTTTCACTCTGAATCAGGGCTCTTCAAAAGTTAACACTCATGCTCGATCAAGCCTAGAACATTCAGATCCCTTCGTGAGCTATTCGTTATTCTGCCACTGGCCTGAATTCGTGGATAAGCACTACTGAAGGATCATAAGATAGAGTGAAATAGCCTTTCAGTGCTCCCGGATATTCATGAGAATAGATGACCAGCGCAGTGAGCTTTGGCTTAGAGCATGGAGAATCGACTTTCAAGAAGATGTGAACCTACGTTTCAGGTTCGTTAGTCCTGGGGTTACTATTGACCGACTTCCAAATAGTGAACACCGAGATACAGCGGACAACAGTGAAACATCACTAAGCTTAGCTACCACTATGCAGACTTGATCGATGGAGTTAGGTAAGTGCTGAGTCTGCAGAACCGGACAGAGTCCTCGGTTATCCTTTGGTAATCAATTAGAGAACAAAGATTTCCCTCACCTAAATATTTTTAATTGACTAGCACACCATCAATGAAATGGAATTTTGTTCTTAGTTGTCACACCTTTATATTATTGGTACTGGGTGATGATTGAAGGTGAAATGGAAGTATAGGTTGTGGTAGGATTCAACCCAGCGACCTCCGGGTGACCGGCCGGGTTATCTACCGACTGAGCTGCAAGACCCAGCTGTTGACGAAATCACCAAGATCTTCGCCCGAATGCCATGTGAATTTCTGGTGCGTTACTATCCGTTAGTCGTATTTACAATGACTGCCCAAGTGAATCTTGTAGCTCAGCTGGTTAAGCAATGGTCCAGTAGCCCAGAGGTCACTGGTTCGAATCCTGCTGCGACTCAGATTTCCATCCCCCAGTACCCATAATATAAGTCTGCCGAACCATCACTATCGCAGGTAGTAAAAGTGATAAAAAAACCTATGTATTGATTCAGATCCTATCATTGGAAAAAAGTATTTCCATACCTAATCATTCTTTTGTTTTAAGTGGTAAAACGGGGATTTCCAATCTGCTGAAAATAATTATATTTTATTAGCGCTAGTGTTCAAAGCAACCGCTTGAAATCTGTTCAACAGAATGCATACAAATTGCGTTTAAATGTATATAAAGTTTCTATTTGAAAATGATGTAACTTCTTACCTCCAGGTGTTGGTGTGCCAACTTCTTTTCTTAATTCATCTGTGGTTGCAATCGGTACAACTGAACAATATGGAAAGGTAAGATCCATATCAAGACGATAAACAACACCTGTCGACTCATTTGTACTACTATGACTTGCCTTTGGCGCTCCAACTAAGCATGATGGTTGTGACTGGCCTATGTATGTTGCTATGGAATAACCGAAATAACTTCCACGATTTATATGTGCATATCGTCTGGCCGAATCTGGTGGATATAATAATAATAATTCCTGAGAATCTTTATTTTTTCTGTACGAAGATAATGATGTTGTAGATGCATAGTTTATAAAAAAAATAAGTATGTGAATCAGTTGAAAATTGATCATGTTTGTTAAATAGTAGGTTGGATACATTTAAAAACGATTGATTAATGTTATTGCTATGAGTTGATCGTTACATATAGTATAGAGAGGTTTTCAATAAAATGTAATGATGGGAAAAGTAATGTTGCATCATAAGAAGGTAAATTAAAAGGAGTCATGTCACGAGGATTTCTGTCTAACCTTTAAAAATAAAGTGCCAGTTAATGTTACTATCACCTCTTCCAATTGACCAGTAGTATGAACCAATCAGTAGTCTTACACACTGTCTATTCATGCATCCAATAGTGTACATCATAACAAGCTTCTGACCTCGTATAAAACAAGAGAAAAAAGTTGGAACAGGCGTACGCACTCACATACATATGCACACACACAGATACGCACAAACATTCCATACGTACACATGTTGTGTGTCTAGGCTATGGTATGACGCATCATATCCCATCCCAAATTCAATGTTCTACGCGTGTATATTTTTGCATACGGAGAAGGTATCACATTGTTAAGCCATCGTCATCATGTGAAGACTGGATTTCTTCACTGAAAAGCAAATTATGTATGATGTGTTGTCACAAGAAAATGATGAAAAACATGTGGGGAAAAAAATGATAGAAATATGTATGAAATCTACAAAAAATTTGTCTACTGGTGTTGCCGATTCCAATGACCTTAAGATGTACACACTAAAGTAAGTGAAAGGACTAAAAAATAAAATCCTATCTAATTCAGAAACACTATTGAGTGCCACAAACCTTTATCAACCTCATTCAACAGCTATATCCTATGCTAATATGATGCTACACGCCAAGTGATTCACAATGAGAAGCTCAGCTCAGTAATGACTTTCAAGTGAAGACAGGAAGCAGTAAGACAAGGTTGCCGCCTACTATCACCCATAATCTTCCTGACTGTGGTCGACTGGACAGAACTGGACTGGATTATCCAATGAACTGTGGGCAGCGAGAAGATGGGCATGCGCTTGCTGAACTGGTGAAAAGACCTCAGAAGAAGATTTGGATTTCACTGACGTTGATGATTTATATCTAATGTCTTGTTGGAAAAACTCGAAGATCTACAGGCAGAAACTAACAAGTTGACAGAGGAGGCGAGGCAGAGCAGCGAAGGAAGACAGGATTCCCTTCAGGTGAATGTAGAGAAGACAGAGGTGATGAAGATACCCAAACAACAAAAACAACAACAGCAACAACAAGCACCAATCACCATGAACGGGAGGAATCTAAAGGAAGTTGTCTCTTTCTCCTACCTACCTAGGCAACATCCTCTCAACTACAGGTGGTGGCGGCACAGGTGACGATGTCAAAGACAGGATCGGAAAGACAGCAAGACAAGCCTTCATTAGTCTGAAATCAATGTGGAGATCTACTGCACTGCACTCCACTGCACTGCACTCCACTCAGTATAAAGCGTGAACAACATCCGGATCTTCAACACTAATGTCAGTCAAGTCAGTGCATCTCTGTGATGACTGTGACTGTCTGACAGCGAACCAACCAACAACTCATCGCCCAGCAAATGTGCGGAAGAAAGTGGGGATAGATTGGAATTGACTGGACATACACTAAGAAGACGATTTGAGGACATCATGCGTCAGGCCAATTCCTCGAGTGGAACCGAAATGGGAAAGGACGAGTTTGGCGCTCGACAGTGTTATGAAGGAGATCGTGTGAGGAACAAATGAAAGCTTGTGGGCAGTCGTGGAGCCAGGTTGAAAAGACTTCAGAGAAGAGAGTGAGATGGCGACGTGCTATCGAAGCCCTATGTTCCACTAGGAACCCAGTGGATAATAATAATAATAGTAGTTCAGAAACTATGAATGAATGTTCGATACTTGCAAATTACAAGTATCATAAAGTAATATCCAATACCCTTTACACAAGAGGTGGTTCTGGCTCCCCAGAAGCCCTAGCCCTAACACTTTAGCCTTAGGCGCGATGAGTACTTGGTTCAAGTTTCAGTAGGAACAACATTACTCACTGGTGTTCAGGTACATCTGACTGATGAGTTCCAAATAGGACGAAACGTGCATCCTGGATTCTACTGCCATTCACCATGATTCTGAACTTATTTTACATGTGAAGTGCAAAGTACTTTTATATGAGACGAAAAAGATTTTTACGATATTCAATTTGCACTAATTAATCCCGAGACTTAACAGATAACGTAACTCTCAAAAGATCTGATAAGTTTTTGACTTTTGGAAAGATGTCTGCATTACTCAATCAGTAACAAAGAGTCTCAGCTAATTTTGACTGACTTTGAAATCAGTCCTACCCTGTACCAAAGTTTGTTGTTAGGTAACAAATGACTTGTTGAAAATTCAGATTGAGAAGCACTATAAATAAAGGAAGTATTGTATAACCAATTCGTCACTTATTCAATTCTCCTTGACTGTCGAACAGTGGACCACTTGCTATAAAGGATGCATGAGATGTAGCCTTTGTGTTGAAAACTGATCAATTCCTCAAGAGTGACTGATTTATCCAGTGTTCATTGATTGGCCACTGGAGGACAAGCAATTTCATGTTGTCTAGCCCTGAGTGTTGATTGAATTCAGCCGATCACTTTGCAAGGTAGCTACCAGTCTAAGAGTTTCGACATATTGGTGCACTTGGATAACCAGCTGAAGTTTATCCCGTGTTCATTTGTGATCCGTTGTGAATCTGAGTTCTTACAATTCTAATGACTGAGCATAACTCAAGAAGTCAATATAGTCCGGACCACGGAAGGATACCACAAGATATGCTATAAATAGGCTGAAGTTGCATGATGAGGACAATTAAATTTCAAATCTACTACTCGACAGAGGCCTACATGTGGCAGAAACCATTAATCTCAGGTTGATAAAAGAGTAAAATTTATGCATCATGGTAGGATGTAATTCAATTTCAATTGACTGATTAGATTTATCACACAGTGGAACAGTATCGTTTACTGGATTACGTTTCGGACATCATTTATTGTCCACAGTCATATCAAGATAACTACACAACTTTGAGATATCCTTGATATAGTCCTAATTTCCTAGCTCCATTTGTGATATGGGTAGTAAGATTTTCCATATATCCGGAAGAGGTGCCGAGTCATTCCTGTAGCATGTATTAGGTGTTGTTTGAGTCGATAAACAAATATTCAGTTATCAATCTCTCCCTCCACCCTGCTATGTTAGTTTTAAGGAATTTCACCCTGTCCCATCCTATTGTGTGTAATCGCATGCATAGCTATGGCTGAGCTTCTCATCTATAGTCCTTACCTTACCAGGATCTACCAATTTTGACCTAGCTAGGTTTTTGTACTCTGATAGGCTAATTGACCCTGGTCGACTACTTTGACCTGTGTATTCGATCTTGCATCACTGCAAGGGACTTGGTAAACTAAGTTATCCTTCCTAATTGAATCACTAAGATCTTTTAACCTACAAAGCTTATTTCTAAGGGGGTTTGTAGGTTTAAATGTCACTAAAATCCTAGCCACCCTTATTGAGAATTCTACACAGTGTTTCAGAGGTGCCTTCTTTCTATGGTAATACTGTAGAGGTTTTGAATTCTCTCTTCACAGTACTGCCACTAATGGTATTAGCATTATTATTACGATTATTGACACCTATATTACTAATATCTTTTCAACTATTCCTAAGGAACTTATCAATTATCACAAAGGGGGGAGGGAATTACGACTAGGTAAAGGATATCTCAAAGTTGTGTAATTATCTTGATATGACTATGGACTATAAATTAAGTCCGAAACGTAATCTAGGAAACAATACTGTTCTACTGTGTGATAAATCTAATAAATGAATTAAGATGGAATCTCAGGTTGATTTCTTTACAAAGCGATGCGTGTTTACAGCTAGTTGATTCTTAACCAGGAGTGAATGTGTCCAGTTCACTATAACTTCAGCTAATTCTCTTAGAGTTACAATTTCATGGTGGAAAATGTTTCCTGGCATATGTGACATAGCTATATATAACTATGCATCAGAACGTAATTCCAATTTCGATTAGTTTATTTACTGTATAACACAAAACACTGGATTATTATTTACTTGATAAGATTCCGATCATAAACTACTGCTCATAATCATATTAATGTGATGACACATATGATTTTTATAGTTCTATCACACTCTTTGCTTTTAGTGGTCGTAAAAGTTTCCATATCTCTGGTACATGTATTGCATCATCTCAACCACATGCTTTGGGTTTAGATTCGATGAACAAAGATTCAGTAATCAATCTCGCTCTCTCTTCACCTAATTATATTGGATGTACGTACAGTGGTTTCATTCCACTGTATTATGTGGTTGTGTGTTAATGTGCGTATTGTGCAACCGAGTTTTTTTCTAGTTTCTCGATCCTTTTGGGATCTGTCACTCTATATTTGGCTGAATTCTTGTGTTTCGATAGTGTAGCTGATCACGATCGGCTAGGTTAACCTATGTGCTTGACCTTGTCATGACGTTTCACTGCTATTTGATGTTCATGTAGGCAGAAGTGAATTGTTTTTGATAAAAGGTAGAGAATAATTATTAATTACTGCATGGAATTACATTCTGTCGTAGTGCCTAAGTTTAACATGTACACAATAAATTACTGGTCTGTAATGCATTGGGTTATGTAAATTCTGCCAGTTTGTGCCCACGATTATCAACAGAGAAATTTGTTTCTCTAGAATTTATTCTTTTTATTTGTAATATCAGCCCGAAAGTGGAAAATGTGAATTTCAGATATGTCATTGGTCGTATTACCTCACCAATATTGTGCATTTTCTCATTTTTGTGCTTGCGGTCGGTTCTTCCATCTTTGAAAGTCATGGTGAGTTGTGGTCAGGTAACTTGGTTATATACACAAATGAATCAATCGCCTAGGATGTATGAATAATGGGCATCATGCTTTGTGGTCTGTTAACATCTGAGTCAGTGGAATTATGTGACTCGTCGTGTGGGTGGATTGAGCAAGTATAGACAAGACCAATCATGTTCAAGGTCAGCGCTGAAAGTGAATCAGTAAAAT